ATCCTCACAGCAAGATGACAGAGCAGTTTGCTCTCTGTTGTTTAATGCCACGTCAAACAGAGGGATTTCTACAGAACTAGGATGGAGACATTTCTAGAGAAACCCTGTCTCGAAAAAACAAAAAAAAAAAAAAAAAAAAAAAAAAAACCTTGATTTCCTTCAGATAGCTGTAATGGATGGTGTGGACGGCAGAGAGCAATCAGGCTCAGCTTGAGGCAAATGCCAAAAGTTTCCCAGAAGGATAAATCTTGTTTCCTGCCTTACTTCACAGAATTAAGCTTTAAACAAGTCATGTTCTGTGGCTTGGATGCTGTTTATATCAGCGCTGGCTCTCTGGCTCGTGGTTGGGAACATTGTATTGGTCTGTAACTCGGGAAGGTTTCCCTGAAGAAGAAATCATTGCCCCAGCATCTTTATCTCCCGGTCCGTTTTATTTGTTCTATTAATATGAGCGAACAAGCTCTGAATCGTAAGGAGATTCATGGAGACAGTGACATTGGCCAGGTGCAGCTTGCAAAGCCGGTGATTTAGTGTCGTGCTTTGGTTACTGTCTTTCCCAGGAGTTGTATGAAAGATGCCTCTTCATAAAGGATTTTTGTTTTGGAAAATTATAACAGCACCCTGTCTCTACGCAAGGAGTATTCTGAGTTGATTCAGTAGGAAGGTCTTTTCCGGAGGTTCAGGGTAGGCTCAGACCTTGTGGTCTCAGGGTCTTAAATGAAACCAAATCCTCCGGGAATTGCATTCGTTTATGGTTTAGTAACAGGCCACTTCCTGTTTCGAAGCGAAATGGGCTTGAAGAGGCTTATAAAAAAGGCTCAAAAGGTTTCTTGGACATCAAATGACTCTAGTAAAACATTTTGATGAGTTAAGTGTAAATGCATCAGCAGCATACGGATTAAATTCCCCTCTAAATAAACATTAACAGAGAACATGTTTGGCAAAATGCATTCTAAGTTTTTGCAAAACCGAAAACATTTGAAAAAGGAGTGTGAGATATTTGATGAACTCAGAGAGCAGCCGGATTGCCCATCCCATACTGAATATTTTCTTTGGATGTTCTGCAGATGTCAAATAAATTAGGATGCAGATATTAAAACCAACGTAGGCTGTAGAAGCCATCAGCAGCCTGTCACTAAGAAGGGCGTTTCTGTGGATACCCTGGTCACGTATGTGTGGCTGAAGAGAGCCCCAGGGGACCTGTAACCCTTTCCTCACTCACAAGCAACAGTTCTTTCCCAGATTCATCCTTCCAGAACCTTCTATTATTCATGGATGGCTCCTGCATCTGTTTTTCTGCCTGTGAGTTATTTTGGCTCCCACAGAGGATTCTGGTTTTGCTATAGATCTGCAATGGAACCTTGGTGCCACCAGAAAAATGACAGCCTTGCTGGAGCTCAGGCCAAAGGCCTTTTATCCAGAAGCCACTGCCCTTGTCAAGACTCTGATTATCTCACACCATCTTTTTATTTTTTCTGACATCCTTCCAAGGCAAAATTTATTAATCCTTTGGGACATTGTAAGTGACAATGGAACAGGAAAAAGAAAGCAGGGCTATGTTTTGAACGTACTATCGTCTGCATTCAGTCACTAAATGGATAGCAAACTTCTACTTCAGACATTAAAAAGTTCAGTTGCATCCCCCACCTCTGTGTGTGTGTGTGTGTGTGTGTGTGTGTGTGTGTGTGTGTGTGTGTGTGTACAGGCATGTGTGTGTGTACAGGCATGTGTGTGTGTACAGGCATGTGTGTGTGTACAGGCATTTGTGTGTATGTTACGTGTGCATATGTGTCCATATGAGATAAGCTCGACAATTAGTCTAGGCTGGTAGGCCGTAGCCTGAGCTATCTGTCTGTTCCCACCTCCCTCGTAGTGATATTACAAGCATGTACCCCCTTACTGAACTGTTTACGTGGGTACTGAAGTTTGAACTCGGGACCTCATCCATGCACAGCAAACATTTTAGTAACTGAGCCATCTCCCCGATTCTTACTTTGATGACCCAGAGTTTTTGAGGGGTGTTTTTTTTTTTTTATTTTGAGCTATGTAGCCATGTAATGTGGGCTACAATTCTATAATTTATAAACATGATGACCTGATAATTGCTTCGATTTTGAACTACACATGCAGAACATAAGAAAATGAACAGGCAATTAGGAAGCAAGGATTTTATTTAAATCTCCCAATTTAAAATTGGAGCTTTAGACCATTGTCTTTGGTACATGGTAAGTGACCATCTGTACCACAGAGAAAAGTAATATGCCATTTTCTAAAACACTAATGCCTGTATAGATGGTACCCATGGCTCCCTGTGTGTTTGTTCATCTTTTTTTTTTTCCACCTTCATGAATTTGCTAACGGGTTTCTGACTAAGGCCAGTGAAGGCTGTGCCTGTTGACCTCAGATCTCTGTACTTTCAATTTATCCTCCATATGGCTGCCAGAGTTTCCTTCAAAAGGGATAGGCTTGTCATTCACCTGTTCAATAATATTTGATGTCTACCAGGTGCCTCCAGAATAAAGCCCAGATTCCTTAACTTGATGTTCAAATCCCCCTTGCCTGGCCTCACTTCTCCTTCCAGTTCCTGTCCCTACCACCTCATAATCCAGACGAAATCCCCAGATTCCACATGCTCACATGCTCACACAGCTATCTAGTCTCAACATTTCACACACCTATAAATATTTGCTACATTGCGACTTTAAATGGAATTTTCCTGCTCTACTCCATTGCACAAGGGTGGAATTTGTGTCTGGCCTATGCATTCTATAACAGCAGCGGCTAAGTGTGATAATATTTTATTTGTGCTTTAATAAATGAAATGTGCCTGGAGATCAGAGGAAATAGCACGCCATTTTAAGTAAACAAAGAAGTCAGGCAGCGGTAGCACACACCTTTAATCCTATCATTTAGCAGGCAGGATCTCTGTGTTCAAGGCCACACTAGGGAACAGAGCCAAGCGTGGTGACACACGCCTTTAATCCCAGTACCAACCACAGAGGCCTGGAGGTCTGTACAGACAGACAGAAAGTGACAGAGCTGTGTAGGAAGAGGAAGTGAGGTAGCTGGGCTAAGAGAGCCAATGAGAGGGCAGAACAGCAAGGCAATAAAGGAGTGGGAAGACAGGAAGTAACTGGCATTTGGAAACTGCAGAGTTGGTGAGGTAAGGTTGGCTGGTGGCTTTTCCTGTTTCCCTGATCTAAGGCTTCGACCCTTGTATTTTGGCTCTGTGTTTTTTATTTTATCATACCATTTTAGAAATTTGTCCATATCTAAGACTTGATTTTGTAGATAGTTATATTATAGCACTCATCTTCAGATGTTAATCCCTTAGTAATTATTAGGGACTGTTAGCTTGCTCATATTGTAAGTAGTTTTTAACAGTCACAGTCATGATGCAGTGGGAACATAGTACAGGTAATCCAGGTCACAGTAGATAGAGAGACAGGAGAGTCAAAACAAGAGGACCAGTATGCAGTGTCTTGTACTTCCCACCAGGAAAATAAAGATGGGATAACAATATCATTGTAATTACCAAATGGCATTTCTATAAATGTCTTATGCTTTAAAAGCTGGAAGTTCTGGGACCAAATCCAGAAACCAGGCTTTGAAAGAGCTATTCCACATGACAGAGTGAAAGGAACGGGTCTCTCTCTCTGTGCCTGGCCCCCCAGATCACCAACTAGTCTAGGAAAAGTGATAAAGAACTGCCAAGAACTGAGACCTTGCAGAATGTGGAGCCCAGAGAGGGGTCGGGGCAGAAAGCAATCCACTTAGCAGTGGTAAAATATGAAGACCTGATTAAGGTCACCTGTGACAGACAAACACCCACTGAAATCTGACTTTGGTTATCACTTAGTCATCATGTTTTGAAGTCTGATATCCCCAAGTGTGGATCAGCTGGAATACAACAGAAGTTCTTAGATTTTATAGATAGTTGTAACTTGGTACAATCACATTTCAAAACTGCTTTGTAGTACCTTCGAAACCTAAGCACTCACCTATTTTACAACATGCATGGCAAATATATTATGTGATATGTACTCATTATTTCTGCATACATACATGAGAAAAGGTATGACCAATATCCCAGAAGCACTGCTTTTTAAAATCAGGAATGTCTAATCTCAGTTAAATAACTTTTTAAATGTATTATTAGACAAATGTAATACACTTATGCTAAGTGCCTTGATTGTATCCATCCACCATTAACTTGATTTTAATGGTGACTGTGTAGATGTTCATCACAGAGGAAATGGTGGCACAAATATTTCATGGAAAGGCCAAAAAAAAAAGTTCCATGAATGCTGAGCAATAGGTGTTCCTCTTAATAATAAAATATCAGCAATTACTAAAATAAATACTTTCAAAGCATATACATAGATTCCAATAATATATAATAAAACAATGAGTGCATGATTTAGAATGTCAAGTGGTCAGTGTGCAGGGAAGCACTTTCAAATACTCGGTGGAGATGGGTTTGCTGAGTTAATTTATTCCCTTACTTATGCAGCAGATGATACAAAGTATTTATATGGTAAATACTGTAAACAATTTTTTAAAGCCATGTATCTATTGCAGTAATATCACTAGGATAAGCTTAGGTTCATGGCAGCAAAGGAATAAATGAATTTCCTCTTTGAGAAAAATGGGCAACCACACTTTCTGTGAACACCTTAGGTTGCCTAGTGCTCTCAGTTTCCTGCCCCAACCATACTCTCCTACATCTTCAAGTTCACTGGACTCATTTCTCACTCTTCCTCACTAGATTTTACCCCATTTCTTATCATATCACTTTCTATTCACAGGGGGAAAAAGATAAAATGTCTTCTCTTTGCTTGGTTTTATGAACACACTGTTGAAATGAATCTGTTCCTTATACTCAGTAGCTTGTTATCCAGGACCTACACATTGAGACTTGAACCTTCACACCATGTTCTAGCATCTTTGGTACAAGAAGGTACTCTGCAGGCTACATAAAGAAAAACATAAACACCAAACCAGCCACAAATCCTTTGGTCCACAATGGTGTCCTTCCTGTAGAATATGCTAGGACAATGGTGGCACAAAGTTTGTGTTGGAGTAACCAAAAAGAAAGAAGAGGAGGGGGAAGAAAGACAGACTTGAGCTTCTAAAGTCTGTATCTCTCAACAAAATGAATTAACCTAGGAGCCAGTAACTCTTTCTTGGCTAATCTCACCAGGTAAAGAGCTGAATCGACCACATGAACAGCACTTTTTATAAGATTGACGGAGTTAATTCTCCACTGAACCCAAGATGCTGTCTAAGAGTGGCATATGTCCAGTTCTGACCCAGTGAGTTCCTGTAATCAGTGAGAATGTGTCTTAGTCTAATGCCAGCCCATGTCTGTAAATTTAGATGAAGGCTCAGAACCTGACTGTGATGATGATAATGAATGCTCCGCAGAAACAACTTGCCTGGGAGATTGAGTGTCTCTGTGAGGTGTGGAGAATTCATGTTGCAAAGGCAAGAGCCAAGGATTGCCAGTCCAGACTGTGCAAGAAGCCGTTTATTTGTTTTGTGGGTGTTTTTCCTCCTTTGTAAACACGTTCTGAGGCCAAGTTACCCGTACATGTTTTATAATGTGGGACTATAAACACAAGCATTCTCTTCCAAAAATGGAACTTCAGGACTTCCCTTGGGAGCATGCTCTTATTTCTTCTGAATTCGGGACCTGACATTTAGGGAAACGTTACATCTCTAATGTTTAGGGGTTTGCTAATCCTAACATCAAAGGGAAGAAATGCTGAAGAAGTTTTGAGACACATAATAGAATATAAAGCTACTTCTGCTTCTGTTGGGGACAATTCCTTGGCACAGTCTGCCTAATGGAATAAAGAGAGAAAGAAAGAAATGTGTAGGTGTTGGAAGGGGCAGCTGGCACTTTGAAGAGAATTTTCCTTCAACCATATGTTCTGAGGTCTCTGCACATAATGAACCAATATTTTCGTTTTTGAAGTCATTGCTGTGTGGTTGTACTTTTTTCCCAGACTCCTTTACTCTAACCTGGACATGAGTTGCTTTTAAGGAACTATTTCAAATAGAGTCTATAAACAGTAATGAAACCTATACACATTGAGCGCATTAAATGCTTCACTACATTGTGCACTTATGAATTAATGATCTCTAGGCAGATATGATAATTCCTCCCCATGGTAATGGACTGTCCTATAGAGTGACCAGCAATGCATATGTTCTCACATCCATAACTCAAAAACCTATGCTTTCACCCTCATAAATGGCATTCTTACCTGGGTTTCAAAGGAGTCACAGTATTTAAACTATCCTAGGAAGTTAGTGTGCCCAGGAAGCATTTAGCATGAATTGCCAGAGGAAAAGAACTTGAGTGGTCTGAACTGGTCCCTCTTCACACATCTTCCTTCCAGAAGACAGTGGCTAGGCCTCTCCAGCTCCATATGTAAACATTGCCCTGCTTGAGAGTCCATTGCTCTCAAAGGTCTTATTGGCTGGAATGGAGAACTTGCAAGGACACACACTCTCTAGATCATTTCTATGCTTATCAGCCAATTACGAAGGAACTTTATCTCAACTGAATTTTACATTAATTTAATTGGAAACTATGTTTACACACACACACACACACACACACACACACACACACACACACACACACATTCTGTTTTACTTTCTTCAGACAACACAATGGGATAGGAGATTATCAGTATGTGAAGAGTCACTAATTAAATACTGAGTAGAAAATGACCCTATTTCCTATTCATGCTACTAAAAAGGGCTTGCTCCCATGTTTTCTCAGTGACACCGGAGCCAGCATTGTATCTTCCCCTGCCTTTCTTCTGAGACCTCTGTATTGACTTAAACTCTGCATTAATGCTCCCACACACATTGATCTTTGGCCCTTTACGTCACCCGGCCTACTCCAGCTCTCTCAGGCTTTCTTCACTTTGATCATTCATACCGTGGCTCTCACAGTTACTCTACACCTAATGGCTTTCGACTTTGGTAAGTATGTCTCCTCAGAATGAACTGTACATGATTCTGCACTAATAATCTCCACTCTCCCATTCTAATATGAAGAGCCCAATAAGTCTTCCATTCCCACCATTCTGTTTCTTAGATGAAAACTCACAAGTATCATAATTTCCCACAGATTTCCAGATGGCCTCATAGGACCTATTTATATTCTAATAAATGCTAGAGGTGTTTCAAGACCAGTTTAAGTGCACTCGTTCCTTGAAACCCTCTCCTGTGCCATGCCGTTCTGGTAGGTGGAGCTTTGCCAAACCCTCTAACCTTATTTAGAATTCTGTCTCCCTTTCTGCCCACCACAAATACTTAAGGACAATGTATTTTCTCACATGTTTTCCAGGGTAAAATTACTTCTCATCATCACATAATGTATTTTGTTATTGTATGTATTATTTATTTCTCCCTATTTGGTTATAAGCTTGAAGAGGGTAAAAAATCTGTTTTGCTCATTGCTTTATCTGAAACGCACAGTAGAGCCTGACATTAAGGGAACTTCTCAGTTAATATTGATCACTGTTGGTGATATTGTGATCAGCTGCACACCTTATCTATTTGAGACCTAGAGAAGACCCATTCTCTTCATCGGTATGACTACATTATCTTCACATACACTCAGGAAATAAATTGATAAGAAGGACTTAAAATATCAACATGTAATATTACAATTTTAAAAATTCTGTGCAATTGTTCGTTTAATAGTTGTAATATTGACATAGGAACTTGATTCTTTAGTTACAGGGGATATAAAATATTTTGTCAAACAATTGTCCAGTTATTATTAATCAGTGAGTTTTAGGGAAAACAAAGGGTCTGGTTCAGCAGAACAGTATGTTACATCACTATTTTTATCCAAATTTTTTTTCATTTTGGAGTGATTTGCCATTTGAAAGAACATATTTCAACTAGGAAGATGTAATCACACTCCATAAAATACTCATCTGTGAGCTGATATGAACAGTGCAAAAACATCACAGCTTAAATATCTGATTGCACTCCGATTCAATAACTTAAATGTTAAAAATGAATAGATGATAGATAGATAGATAGATAGATAGATAGATAGATAGATAGATAGATAGATAGATAGACAGATAAGTAGATATATACCTCATGCTGTCACAGAAACTATTCACATTTTGTGTCTTTGTCTTTAGATCTCATAGTTTTCAGGGAATGATATCACATCTATGAGTATATGGGCAACACACATTAGACTCCACGGGTTAGGAAGGATTGTGGGAGCTAGATGAGTTGAGGACACCAGGAGAACATGGTCCACAAAAATCAACTACACAGGGCTTGTATGGGCTCACAGAGACTGAAGTGGCAACCACAGAGCCTGCATGGGTCTGCACTAGGCCTTCTGCACACATGCTGTGGTTTCTTAGCTTGGGGTATTTTTTTTTTTTTGACTCTTAGTAGTGGGAGTTGGGGGAAACATCATGAGTGTTTGAGAATGGGCATAGATAGGCCTATGGCATAGGACAGAGCTTGTAACTTCTCTGCCCATGTAGGGGGCAGCCAGAGTTCTCAAGGCCCAGTCCATATTGGGAAATATGCGCACCAGGGGAACAACAAGCATGCGTGTTTCTTCCAGAACAGTCTACTCTGCTTATCTCAGACACCTCCCTTTATTCAGCAGAAATCACAGCTCTGGGAGGAATGTTCCCTTTGGGTTTGGGAAACTTTTCCTCTATCTCAATGAGGTCTTGCCCTCGGTATTTGTGAAATCATTTCAGAAGAAAGTGTTCTCTTGGACCATGGGCTAATCTTTCCATCATTTCATTTCGGCCTGCAAAATAACCTATGAAAACTCACATGAGAACAGGTACAGACAGAGGCATTCTGAAAGGTGAGGCTGACAGGTTGGTTACATGTCACTTGTTAGGCATCAGCAGGTAACATCTCAGTTGTCTTGGTCAGTCTTGCTCCATGGTAACCACCATGCTTGAGGAAATGAGAGCTATGAGCTAGGGATAGGGTGGAGATGAAAAACAGGTAGCATTTAAAGCATCATCTTAAGTCCATTCATCACTCTTTATACTTGTTTCTTAGGAATGCTCCAAAATAGCCACACCCAGGTATGTGATCAGAAAACTGCCTTGTCCCATGGCCATCACACCTGCCCAGTGCACTAATTATTCTCCATTCCTTTCATGAAATGTGGCACCCCTCCACCACTTTTGTAGACACTATTCATAAAAATGCTTTTGTTTGCTGTTAGCCACAGATTATAGCACTATAAGAATTAAATATTCAATTGTTTGTAATAGTCAAAACTCCATATATGGTACTAGAAAGAGAGACTCATTTGGTAAAGTGTTTGCCATGTAAGGATGCAAACCTTTTTTTTTTTTTTTTTTTATAGATCCCCAGCCTTCCTAGTGTGGTAATACATTCTTGCAATTCTTGTATGGGGTAGATGAGACAGGCAGATTTCTGGGACTTGATAGATGGCCAGTCTAGCTAAATGTGTGAACTCCATGTTCAGTCTCAAAAACAGAAGGTGAAAGGCTCGCTCAGATGGCTTTGTTTAGTGTTCTGTCTTCCAGTGCCAGCCTGTTCTATGCAAGGCCTTGTAGGTAGTTTATAACAGCAATGTTATAAACCTCTTTTGCTCTGCCTTGTACTTTCCTCTCCCAGTAGAAAAATCTAGGATTTGGTTTCCTCTTTTGGAAAAGCAGGCAAGAAGAGAATGTGAGGGCCAAGGAAGGAAAAGTGTTGAGATTCATGTACTGTTGACTTTGCTGTCAGTACTTTGGGTTTTGTTGCTTCTTTGGGTTCTTTGGTGAATCTTCTCTCATCATCAGTAGTTTCTTGCCATGGTTCTATTCTTGTTGATCCCTCGGGACTTCTGCCTTACCCTTCAACCCTGGGGCATGTACATGAAACCCCTGCACATGACCCAGTGGCAGGACTGACGACAACTCCAACCTGATAATGTCTTGGCTGACACACATGCGTAGTCTTGTCTTGGGTAGCTTCCTCTCACCTGCCGATAGAATGTCTTAAGGATTTGTTTCCCCCTCAAGGACTTGGCTGAAACAGAAACCAGATCTCATCTTAATACTTTAATCTCAGCTCAGTTCACTCTCACCTCCTGATGTTTTAACTTACAAAGTGGTTTCAAAAGGCATATGTCCTGGCAGATAAAAAGCATCAGTGAGACTGCAAAGGATATGACTTAAGGGGAATATTCATTGGATTTTGGAAAATTAGACATGACCCTAAACTGGGGGCTTGTCTGTTAGATAGTTCCAGTAGGCCCTGAGACTTCTTGTTGTCTTCAAATCCAAGTGCATAGAAACTGATCAATCATTTCCCCCGTAGCCACGTTACCCACACACATCTTTTGCACCACAGTGGCACAAGGCACACTGTACCACAACTATACAACCTGTATTTTTAGGTGCCAAGGGACAATTTTACCTGAAAGTGAACAGATAAACATTCATATATATATGAATGTACTTTATAAAGGCATCGAAAACAGAATTTGAAAATCAATTTAGCAGTTCAAATAAAAGCCAGAGAATGGTAAGAATAGCTAGGCCATTAAGATGGCTAGCATGGGAAATTTAAAAATTCCAAGGTTTTGAGTGTTCAAAGATGGAAAATGAAGGCTTATGAAAATGGAATATAATAGGAACCTTTATTCTAAAAGCTTTGTATCTGCCTTGTAGGAAAGTTTGCTTATTAAATGGTTTCTTCCCCCACAGATACATGGATGTCCACATAGCTATAATATACATATATTTCATAGTATAGAAATTGTATCTGCAATCCTACGATCATATTCTACAGCAGATTTGTAGATTTCTTAGAATCCTGTTTTGGTTCTTTGTGGAGAGAGGCCAGGCCACTGTTTCTAAGTCACTGCCTTATAAGACCAAATAAGGGGTACTTCTTATAAAAATACGCATTACCATGTGCAAGCTTATTTTCGTATATTTTGTACATTTAAATTTCTTTCCTCTCACTTTCTCATTTGCTCTCTCTTAGTGTGTGTGTGTGTGTGTGTGTGTGTGTGTGTGTGTGTGTGTGTGTGTGTGTATGCGCACACGCTATAGTATATGCATGCAGGTCAAGAACAACTCTTGCAAGCATGTTCTCTTCTACTGTGTTGAGGTGACTCCTTCCTGTTTCTGCCATGTAGCATCCTCCAGGCTGGCCCATGAGTTTCAGGGTATTTATCCTGTCTCCCTCTCTCACCTCATTACGGGAATGCTGCTATTACAGAAGGATGCCAGTTTTTTTTTTTTTTTTTTTTTTTTAAACCTTGTGTGACTGGAATTAAACCGAGCTTATCAGGCTTGCACAGCAGGTAGGTGCTTTTACCCTTTGATCCATCTCCCAGGCCCTGCTGCACCATTCCCAAGTTTGCAGATTTACTTAGTTTGGATTCTTAAACAACATTTTGAATTACACATAAATATCCCATATAAAAGGAATGGGTCTTTAGACGGTTAAATATTTGCTCAGTGTCATACAATAAGTAGCAAAGCTACACATCCATAGCCTTCATCAGTAATACTTCAATTATGGATAATGTGGTAAAAAGCCACAAATAGGAACTTCCTGTCAATTATCTATTGATTTTCACTATTTTACATACAGCCAGAGATTCTCACTACCACATATTAGAGCTGGAAATGCTGACTAAACACGAAGCCTTTTCTATACCACGCTACATCTGTCTATGTTTCCCTTCTAAAAATGTGTACACTCTGTATTCAATTTTTATATAATCTGAAAATTACACTTAGTAAGATATGCATGAATCTGGTTGCCACTTATTTCTAATGTCTTCCCTCTCACTTCCTCCTCTAAACAGCCAACAGCTTGAACCACAAGACAGAATGAATTAAAAATCCAATGTAAGTACTTTTTGTTTATATCAGTTTCAGTACTGGCCCCCGAAATACTAACTAGTATCAACAACTTGAAATTACTGTGTTGACATTTTCTGTTTCTAAGTTAAACTAAACACCCAGAGCAAACTGTATTGCAACATGCATTTGTTTTTAACTCCAATACAACTGAGATTCTTATCTAAGACATGTTAACAAGCTTTCCCATAGTTAGCCATATAATAAGGGAATGGATTTTATGGATTATTTTGGTTTACAATTTGGAGTTAGAAACAAATTTTTTTTTATAATTTTCTTACAACTCAAAAAATTTGTGGTTCCTTTTCCTGTTAAATGAATTGGCCCAGCCTTGGATCCAAACAGGACTGCCTGAACATGAGCTGAACAGAGACAACAACAATAGGTTAGACATGCTCAGGTGGACAGGAATAGGGAGTCCATGAGCTCTCAATCCTACATAAAGAACCACTAACAAGTAAGGACTGCTGAGAGCTGGGAAGACAGTCTTCCCCACAGAAGAACACATCAATTAGTTATGCAACACCAAATGGTCAACTCTGAAAACATACATACAAGTAACATTGTACAGACTGTATTTGTCCATGCCCATGGCCATATAGATGGCTACATCTATGTCTGTCTGTCTGTCTGTCTGTCTATCTATCTATCTATCTATCTATCTATCTATCTATCTATCTATCTATCTATCTAAAGCTATCTATTTATTTGTTTATCTATACACACATCTATATGGCTAGTTAGGTCATGTGGGAGAACTTAATGCCATTACACTGCTAAATGGACATCATAAAAAACATCCTCCTAAGTTCTTATCTTTATTCTCATAGATTAAAGGATCTCTCAACTTTTATCAGAGAAGCTCTTTTTGTAGGACATGATGACTAATACAAAAATCTGCAACAAGTCAACATACAGAGACTAAGAGGCTGAGGAGTACTCATCTCTAAAATGAACATCTATACCACCCCTCCAAGGCTCAGGAATCATCAAAGAAAAGGGATAAGAAAGACTGTAACAGCCAGAGGTAATAGTTGTCTGCAGCAAAACATATTTTCCAGGCCATGAGGGCTATCTCACCCATGAACTCACAGTAGCAGTTTTTCTGTGCACAAGACTTACACTAGATCAAGCCAGACAAAATACTGACATGGATGGGTGAGATGCTCATGAATTCTTACTCCTCTACCTTAGAAACTATAGGCAATTGATATCTGTTGGGAGAGGAAGAGTTAGGTTTCTTTAGAGATATGGCCCCTGAGATGCTGCTCATGATACAGTAGATTGTTCTATATTCATGCACATACAGATAGCTCTAAGCAGACTATGGTTTATTTTTTAATGTATCTTCATGTTTTTATACAATAAGTAATCCAAATTAGCATCAGATAAATTCTTAAATTCACAATTAAAGTCAAACTTTTAGAGAAATACAGAAGTAAAACTCTTGAAAATGTGGGATTGAGTAAAAAAATTTCTTAGGCATAATATAAAAAGAAAATCAGTAAAATAATTACTCAAGTTCAACTTCATCAAACTAAAACATTTGTCATAAAAAATTTGTTAGAGGTTTAAAGGAGAGGCTTACAACTGGTATAAATATTTGACAATCATATATCTAGTGAAGGACTAATAGCCCTAGCATAAAAAGAGCTCTCAAATTTCAACACTAAAAAAACTTAATTAAAAATTTAAGCTTATCTTTTATGAAAGAGATTATAAAAAAAACACAAACAATTCATCATCATTAGCCATTAAGAAATTCTAAAATAAAGAAAAATATAAATATAATATATCTATATATTCACCTATGGGAATACCTGAAATAATAGTAATAACAAATTTAACACAAAAATTTGATAGTGTCAGGTGCTAATATTTTTTGAGGAGCTACTGGAACTCTAATATCTTGATATAAAAATGAAATTATACATGAATTCTGTAGTGCTTGTTGTTGTTTCTTATGAACTTCTATTTTCCATGAGAACAGAGATTTTTCACTAGAGAATGTTTATCTTAGACAAGTACTCCTTAAACTTTTTCTACTCCTGATTCATTTATGACAGAGGACATTTTATAGAATCCCATGTGTGTTGTTATATAGGTATATAAAACAGTTTTAAAAATAAAACATTTAACTGATAGTAAATCATAAAGAAATTTATTTTAATTCATTGTTTTAATATGTCTTTAGTATTAATTTAAGAAAAAAAAGTAAGTTTACATGCTGATATGATGGATCTGGTGATTTAATTTACTCAAAGAACTAATCTACAGAATATTTAATACTGTAAAGTATAGCACATCTACAACAGTTTTCAGAATGATCAGCATTTTTGTTTAATAATTGCTGTTGCTAAGAGCATCCTTTTATACAAATTCAGAGCATAGAGTGACAGAAGCTCATTTAGGGTCATTTCAGAAAGTGTTGGAAAGTATGTCCTACCCTCAAACTAATTTTCACTTAATGGTTGTGGTGATTTGAATGAGAAATGTCCCTCCTAGGCTCAGATGTTTGAAGACGTGGTCCCAAGTGGGTGGTGCTTTTTCTAGAAGTTTAGGAAGTGCAGCCTTGCTGGAAGAAATATGCTTCTGGGGGGCGGGAGGCACGGGGGGTGTGGGGGGCAGGCTTTGAGCGTGTGTCTCTTCATCCTACTTCCAGTTCATTATATGTTGTGTTTGTGGTCAAGATGTGCTCTCTCAGGGCCTTGCTCCTCCCACCATGCCTGCCACTTGCTGCCATGCCTCCCCATTATGATCTGCTCTTGTCTCTCTGCAAATATAAGCCAAAACAATCCTCTCTCTAAGTCACTCACGGTTATAGTGCTTTATTGCAACAACAGAAAATTAATACATTTTTTTTTAATGAAACACATGTCAACAACTCAGTGAGTATTTTTTTAAAATCAAACCTTCTAACACTACAATGTAAAGAAACATTAACTTAGTACTTATATGCTGTTAAATGATGGCAGGGAAATAAGACTATTTGTTTATGCAATCAAAACATATTTTATAAGAACAAATGAGTTTTGTGTATATGGAAAGAAGCAGCATCATTTGTAACGTTTATAACATATTAGTCTCAAATCTTAAGTAAGAATCATTGGAGTTGTATGGCATGAAATCATGTGATACAGCATAGGACAGCACTGCCAGAAGCAAGTCACATTTATTGCCATTTAGATTTAAATTCACATTTGGTGGATGCACATTCAGAAACGTTTTGCTCTTCTCAGATATGCCAAGGCCCCTAAACTCAGTTATGTACGTACCCCACTATGGGACCATGACTCATTGTTTTAGAAACTGGGCCCTAGAGAGATGAAAAGTTAAATTTACATTAAAAACCTGCCCATACATGTTTGTATCTTCTTCCTTTGTAATCACACTAAAGCCAGGAAAAACCCCAAATGGCTTTCATAATGAATGGTTAGACAAATGTTCCATAGCCACAGAATAGAATGTTACTTGAGAATTAAAGGAAAACACACTAACACAGAGAACATGGATCGGTCAATTCCAAAGGCACCATGATGAGTTAGAGTCAAAGAGAAGCTACTCTTCAAGACGGCATAGTTGATGATGACACTCTTGGCAAAGAATGACAACACGTGACAAAGCTGTGGTTGCCAGAGACTGGACATGAGTGAGGTTGCATGTGAACAGGGTGAGGCAGCACAGAGAAGAGGGGGTTCTTTGGGAGGTGGACTTGTGGGGGTTCTGCAAACCACAGAAGCACATAGCCTCCAAAGATCCATTTTATTTCATGCCGATTTTAAGAAACCAAACCATTCAAGCTACATCTCTGTAGAAACCTATTTAAACGGCACCATGAAATGAGAGGAAATTTCTTCTCAGAAAACACCATGCTGTGTTTTCTTGGTGGTACATGATCCTAAAAACCTCATTCATGTATGTGAATTCCATTGCTGATTGTAACAAATGCCCCTGATCATTTCTTTGGCAGTGTGGACCTTTTTGGTGCCGTGAGAATCAAATTTCTTTCTCTGCCTCAATATCCTTATTTGTTTCTTCTTCTAACTCGACCAACTCTTTATTAGATAGCTCTTCATCCTTAGTGTCAATGAACTCTCCACCGTGCTTCCCACCAGTATTATTTTCTAACTGTTTTCCAAACACTGGCAAAATACAGAAATGGACATTGACTTTCAGAGCTGCTTGGGATTTTATTACATGCTGTACAGAAATATATAATGAAAGCAATGTACATTCAGAGCTTGATGTCTTTCTGAAGAACACTATGCCCACATGCTAAGTACCTTCCATGAGGTGTTCTGGAGCTTTGTCAGAAGAGAGGGAACTTAGTGGCTGTCACTGTGGCAACCTCATCATCCATCAGTGACTTAGTTTAATTACTCAATCATTTCTCAGGCCAAATGTGGTTTATGCTTTCTATATTAACAGTGGATAGTCATAAAACTATTCCAGTTGTTGCTTTAATCTAGCACACAATAAATTACATGATCTATTTGTTACTGAAAATAACCTTTAATTTAATGAAGTATGTCTATACACACCATCATTAAAGTGACGAATATCATCTAAAGTGCTAATAGTGGTTGTTTAGATTATGGGCTATAAATTATTTTAAACACATTTAAAGATTTTATTTTTTTACAATATATAAGAATTCCTCTTAAAACATGAAAAAATAAGAGCAAATGAATTCCTTAAGAATGAACAAGAATGAAGATTTATGAAAGTAGATCCTGCTTGTCCTGATTTTGCAAACAGTATCTCATCCATGGATAAGGTCTGATGAGGTGATTGGCTGAACTTGGAGCTCCCTGGAGACAAATTTAGTTCTTATTACTCACACCTATCCTATCACCAGATAATTCTTCAAGATACTAGACATCAGGAACAATCTGCAAAGCAATAATCAACTTGGGATTATTTTTGGCAATAGTAAGTGTGTTATACTTGGAGAATCATCCACAAAAGTTTTTCTCTTTCATTTTTTT